AAAAAAGTACAGCTATGGTCGGTATCCATCCGTATCCATGTCCTTTTACCGCTGAATGAAAGCATATTCTTTAAACCTTACCCCTGCCCCGGTTCATAGCGCCTGCAATTAGTCTCCGAGTTGTTAAGACGGCATAATGCTTCCTGTGAATCACAAAAAATACACTTTAATAAAGCTTTAGGCTAGGCTGCTTTTAGCTTACCTAGCTAGGCTAGGTTGTCTTTAGCTTGCCTAGCTAAGCTAGGCTGCTTTTAGCATAGCTACCAGTAATCGAACATATATTTACCGCTAGCGTGGCGTTGTGCACCCGTCTTCTCTTCCTCGAGTTCGTATATCCCGCAAAGTTGCTCGACTGCAGATAGGGTGGCCAGATGTCCGGCTTTAGGGCGGACAGTCCGGATTTTCATTGCACTGTCCGGCGTCCGGCGCTGCACCCAGCCGGACATGTATTTGTCCTCCTTTACCCCCAGATTCCACATACTCCGTCAGCGCTCCGCCCCGCTCACGTACGGAGTACTTGTCTGTCATGTAAATCAATGAGAGCTGTTCCACATCCTCCGCTCGTCACCACCCACGTACGTCTTCTCCGTCCTTCACCGTCAAAATACGGAGCTGAGCTATTTTTTGCTCCCCTCCGGTCCGTCCAGATCAAGACCCGCTATTGCAATCGCACCAAACAGAAAAAAGAATGTAGAGAAGACCCGGTTTGTCAAATTAAATTATAGTAAAAACAGATCGGTATCTAGAAATTAGAGCATAGTTTGTATATATTCCCAAAAACTAAGAGCAATTAATTAAATAATTGGATGCAGACTATTGGTGCTTCAACAGACGAGGAAGAAGTTGTGAGATTCTAGAGTGAATCTCACAACTTTAAAAGAAAATTCTTATTGCAGGAATGGATGAAGAGATGATGAGTTTGGAAGCAGAGAATAAACAGAGTTCATACAAACTATGTATGATCCTAGTTATCCCTGTTACAAAAATCGGCAACAGAAAGAAAATATTTGGGCAGAAACTGAACATCTGCTGGATGATGATGGGGATTTTTTTAATATGTCAGATTCAATTAAGCGTTCACAGGTTTTATACTGGAATGAGGAGCTCTAATTTAATGCTCTTTTAATGCTATTAGAAATAATTTTAATGCCATCAACAAGTATCATGTACACAAGTTATTAGTTTACATGAAATAAGGAGCTGTAAGCACAGTTCCATGACTCAAGTTTATATATATATATATATATATATATATATATATATATATATATATATATATATATATATATATATATATATATATATATATATATATATATATATATATATATATATATATATAGATAGATAGATAGATAGATAGATAGATAGATAGATATGGATAGATAGATATATAGATAGATATGGATAGATAGAGAACATAGTGAAATCATCTTTACTCTCGACAGGCTGCAGCCATGTCATGAATTCCTCTTTTCCAGCCACTTTTTGCAGTTTGCATCGTCCTATTCTCTAGCTCTTTCTCGAGCTTCTTTTCCAAACAACTGCTTTATGATCAATTGCAGCAGTTCTGCGCAAATTAATTGTGTTAAAAAAATGGTCACTTTTTAAACACCACAATGTATTAAATAAATACAAATGCTGGGAACCAATTCTTTTTTACATTTCTTTAATATTTTGTTCTATTCAGCTACACAAGCATCCTCTTTAAACTACTAAGAATTGTGCTATAAATGTGACTTTACCCGATTCTTATGTACACCTTAGTAGTTTATTGATATGCCGCACAATGTCCTCCTTTTTGGTGCTATAGAAATGGCCACCCTAACTGCAGAGCCGCCATCTTGTCCTCTATGGACTACAACCTGGAGTGCATCGAATTCTCCAGCTGAGTGAGGCGCTCATTCATGTCGGCAGTATGTTGGGCAAGCTGACGAGACAGTCCGCTGATAGCAATCAGCAGTTTCTTCTCGTCAGTCTGCGGGCTGGCCGAAAGTTGTGGACTAAGAGCAGTTGGAGGCGAGTTGAACGCGAGACGTCGTGCAGCCATTGTTCACGTAACAACAAAATACAAACACGGTAACTGGAGATGAAGCTCTTCTGAGTATAGTAACACAAACATGTCTGCTAATATGCTGGTCTCGCGAGAAGTCGTAGTGCACAAAAGCTCACACGTGATTGGACGATGGGGCCGAAGGCTCATCAGGCTCCTCCAATCACATACGACGTCATTGTTATACGGAAGGACTCGCGAGAAGAGCTCGCGTCGCTCCATTCTGGAAGGTGGCGGTAATGCACCTATAAATTGTTTGCAATTGCAATTGTTTGTCTCCATAAGATTGAATTTGAGCAGGTGGACATTAGAGATAATAAATGCAACAACAAGTTTTTGAATCAATATTCTATAAATAATATGTACCCAGGAAGAACAAAAAGCACAGCTCTCTTACAAAATTTTAAGAAATCTATGATAGTCAAAATTAGGACAAATTATTTGAAATTCCCAATTCCTCCTAAATATAAAGAATTACAATTTAAAATAATAAATAACATATATCCTTCAAATGAGTTTTTAAGAGAGAGATTTAAGTTTAATGTTGAGAATTGTGGCTTTTGTACAACTCAATTGGAAACAACTAAACATCTTTTTTATGAATGTAAAGAAGTATTAAACTTATGGGATCAACTTCGAACCTTTCTGTCTTCTAAAACAATAAATTTAGATTTTATTTCCTGGCAAAACATTTAATTCGGTTTATCCATTAAAGAAAAAAAATTTGGAATTTTTAATTAATATTCTAATAATTGTAACAAAGTATTATATCCATAAATGTCGCTATGCAAAAAGCTCCCTCTCAATCTCTGCTCTCAAAAATGAACTTTCCCTTTTCAAAAGATGTCTGAGAAAGATGCAGAATTTAAATGCAATTAAATTGTTTGAGTTAATTGAAGAATTTCAGTTGGTAGTCCCCACTGATTAATTTACTTTAACTACTATTATTATTTTATTTATTTTTATTTATTTTATTTTATTTTATTTTATACTTTTTTCCAGCCTGTGCATTTAATTTTATTTTTCAAAAGCAGGAGTTGTGATATTTCTTCTTGTATTGAAATATTTGTTAATGACTTGTTATTTGAGATTGTTATTGTTTTCTTATATATTCAATAACAAAAAAAAAAAAAAAGTGGAAATCTAAAAAAAAAAATTAACCATTACAGCCAACTGATTCTGAGTAAAACTAATTTTTGAAGTAAATTATTTTGTGTATTTTTTTTTTTTTACATAACATTTGCATACACAGTAATCTAGCGTACTTTAATTAAATAAATCAATTCAAGCTAAAATGTAAGAGTCTATAATTAGGCTATACTGAGCCTGATCTATTTCTACCATCTATTTGGGGGATATTTATTGCCACACTTTGGGCCACTTAATACCAATTTAGCATGCTGACCTATGACCTTATGACCACAGTGTACCAATCTTCTGATGGCTACTTCCAACAGGATAATGCGCCATGGTATAAAGTGAATCATCTCAGAATCATTTCTTGAAACTTTTCCACTTAAGTAATTGTGAATTGAGCATATTGACAGACAACATTTTATTTTTTATCTTAAATGCAAATTTAAAAAAAAATAATTACTGCTCTCAATGTATTGCTCTGTCAGCTAAAGATCTGTTTTGGTCTCTATACTTTAATTAAATAAATCAATTCAAGCTAAAATGTGAGAGGCTATACTAAGCCTGATCTCTTTGTATCAGAGATTTTCTTCCTCAGAAAGATGTCACTTGGGGTAAAACCCCCCCTGCAACCCTGGTTTGCATTTGTATAGCTCACAGCATGTTCATTTACATGTTAAAGCCTCCCCTAGAATTCCATGGGGGGGAGGCATGGGGGGAACACTGCCTAAGAAATTCCACGTCAATTTCTGACAATTTACGGGAGTTTTCGTCGAAGCCTGCAAATTGCCGTAAACTGCCGCTAACCTGAAGTTCCACGACAATCTACAGTGCCGTATATTGACGAAAATCCCACTTTTCATGCAGTGTCACTTAAAAACATTCCAACAAATTTTTACCCACTGATCACAGCAAACATTGTTACAGGCAAGGAAAGGATAGGGTAGCACATGCGGTTTTGCTGCTTCTGCTGCTTGCAGTGTGAATGTAGCATAAGAACACCAACAAAATACAAATAAAACCATAATCAATGTTTTGGAGTTGCTATCATAAAACTTTGGTCTCATAGGAAAACATGGGGGAAGTTTAAAAAACAATCCACTAGACTTGGTTTCCAAGATTTTAAGACGTTTCGCTTCCCCTCCAGGAAGCTTTGTCAATTCAAATGTCTGGATCCGCAGTGAGTTTGAGGCTTTATATAGACAAGGCCTTGTATTGCTTGGAAACATGCAAATTGAAACCGGCGAGTGGGTTGTTTGGTTCCATTGTTAGCCTGTCCGACCCACTCGTTGGTTTCAATTTTGCATAGGCAATACAAGGCCTATTCTATATAAAGACTCAAACTCACTGCAGATCTAGACATTTGAATTGAGAAAGCTTCCTGGAGAGGTGGCAAAACGTCTTCAAATCTTGGAAACCAAGTCCAGTGGGTTGTTTTGAAACTTTTACGGAATGACTATGACCTGGATAACTGAGAATCTTCATCAGCATGGGGAAAGTTAAAAAGCTGTCTGTGATGAGGTGCCTAAACTGGCTTAGTAAAAGCAATTCATTTAGAAAGATGGGACACAAATCCAGCAAAGTATTTTGTGTTATATCGCTAAGGATAACCAGAATATTTGACCCAAGTCACACAGCTTAAAATGCAGTTCTTATTTTTTTCTTGAATTCAGAGCACAAAAGATTGTGATAAATCAAGCTAAAGTAAGACAAAAAAAATTGTAACCCGATGTTTTAACCTATTTTAGCCTGACAATTGTTTTTTTTTTATATATACATAGCATGTCTATATCTGATTTTTTTGTTTTTTCAGAAACCAGGAATGACCACAGCAGCCATGGAGCCTGTTGGAGTCTTGGTGGAAAGGAGCACCAATGCAACAGACTCTCCACTGAGCTCTCAAGAGGATACAGCTGCTACATTCACCATTGGCACCATCCTATCTATCATGTGCTTGGTTGGAGTCTCAGGGAACATCTACACCCTGGTGGTCATGTGTCATTCCATGAGAACTGCAGCGTCAATGTACATCTACATTATAAACTTAGCTTTGGCAGATCTGCTTTACCTTCTCACTATCCCCTTTGTGGTCTGCACACACTTCTTGAAGGGATGGTACTTTGGAGATGTAGGGTGTCGGATACTGATAAGCATGGATTTCCTGACCATGCATGCCAGCATCTTTACGCTGACTATCATGAGCACGGAGCGTTACTTTGCAGTGCTCAAACCACTGGACACGGTCAAGCGGTCTAAAAGTTACCGCAAGGCTATCGCACTGCTTGTCTGGGTAGCCTCACTGATCCTCACATTACCTATGATTGTGACCATTAAGCTTATGAAAGTGGGTACTAAGGCAATGTGCCAGCCCACTTTATCTGAACTTTCTTACAAGATTTACATCTCCTTTCTATTTTGCACAAGCATTGTTGCCCCAGGACTGATTATTGGGTACCTCTACATTCAGCTGGCACGGACTTACTGGATATCACAAACGGAAAGCTTCAAGCAGACCAAGAAACTACCTAATCAAAAGGTTAGTAACTTGCAAAAAAATCTGCATGTAATGCAAGAGTGATAAGGAATCCTTTGGAAATTTATTGTTTTAATGCAGGCTTTGGTTTAACAAGATTTTAATATCTTGCTGTAGCAATGTCATAAAATTCAAAGAGTAGAAGAATTGCAAACCTACCAAAAACTAATCAAAGATATACTTAGTTATCACAGCAGTATATTTATATGAATGTCAACAACAAAAAAACATTTGACTTTTTGTACATAAATCTTGTGCTTCTAAGGCTTTGTGAAGGCAAATCTGTGTTTTGCATGGTCCAATATTGTGTCACAAACCTAAAAAAATTATGTACCAGTTTTATGCATAAGCTGTATATACTTTTAATTTATAAAACCATTTTATTTTCTGGGAATGAGTTTATTTAAGAGCAACTATGCAAATTAGTTAATATCTAGAAAATGTACACTATATTATATTATTTTCCATGTGAATCCCAGATTGTTCATGCTTCTTTGATTTTTCTAAAAAGTGCTTTAAATCAGTGTCACCTGTCTTTATCCATGCTGAATTAGAGTCTGACGTTTTAAAAATGAGGCGGGGAAAAGCAGAATAAAGTGTTAGACATTAGCCAAGCCTTCTTGCTAAACCAGGTCCTGAAAAGAGTGTACCGTCTCCAAGCCCTTTCACCTCTAATTTCTCTTGCTGGAAGGGACTTTACTTAATAAAATTTTTCTCGCACCATTTCTTTCTCTCTCTCCAATGATCATCTCCAACTTCCGCGACTCGATGTGTCAATCAGACCCACTTTGACTGTAATGTCAGTTCCTGTCAGCTATGGGCACAGGAGCTCTCCTATCCTTTTGTTTCTGCGCATGTACTACTTTTAACGAAAGTCAAATTTTTGCTCCCCAGGGCGGAAATACATCACCAATCCAACAACGAACAAAACAGCTTTACTCATCATTAAAGATAAAATATTTATCTTGTACATCTAAAAAATATATTAATATATTTCAAAATATTTTGATTTTATAATGTAATTTTTATTTTTTATTTTATGTCTTAATCATCGTCATTGGGTGGGTGGGGCGGCCCCCTAGCACCCTCTATTGGCCAGTCTCCACTGACATGGGTAATGTGGAGTACTTAAAGCAAACTAATGTGATAAAATGGCCCAGTCAAAGCCTGAATGAAATCCTGCTTGCAAGACTTGATCTCTGCAGATAGTCTAAATTCAAATTGACCAAGTTTGTATTTTTTTAAAAAGAAAAAAATCTGTTTCTGTTTTATAAAGTGTGCCAAAACATATACCAAAGGAATGCTGAAGATGGGCCTTACACTCTATTTTTGTCAAGCCATAACCAGTCAAAGCTTTTATTTCCCATCACATTTGTGGGTTTTAAACAAATTACTCAATAAAATACAAAACTGCCCAGAGACACATTTTTTCTATATTCTATTTTCACTGGGATTCCACTGGAAGCAGTTTATCAATAATGCGTATTAAACTATTCCATGATAGGAAGCATTTTACCTTCATGGGCAAAACTATAGATTAACAGACGTATGAAGAGAAGATGCATTGTAATGCATTGTATGTCTATGATGATTCATATTTAGCTGCTTAACTTTTCTTTTATGTTCCTCAAGGTGCTGTACCTGATTTTTACCATTGTGCTCTTCTTCTGGGCGTGTTTCCTGCCTTTTTGGATCTGGCAGTTGCTTGACCAATTCTGTCCCTCGTTGTCCCTCTCCTCCAAAGTCAAACGAAACATCAACTACCTGACCACATGCCTCACGTTCTCCAACAGCTGCATCAACCCGTTCCTTTACACGCTGCTCACCAAAAACTATAAAGAGTACCTCAGGAAACACAAGAGGTCCTGGACTGCAGGAAGCTACTTTAATAGACGAAGTCGTTTTCAGCGATCGCCCCGAAGGTCGCCGTCTGCCAGCAGTCAGCAGTGCACCGAGAGCTTCATGCTTACACATACAGCTTCACTGCGAGCTCATAACAGCAGCTTGTAAGGTAGGGGGAGCTTTTTTTGGCCTGAATTTGAGAAAAGTGTGGATGTTTCCCTTTTTAACATTGATTTATTTTAACAATTAAACTTGTTAAACTGGCAGCAACGTGAAGGCTTTGGTCCTGCAGCTTGTTCTCTTTCTCTGTTTTCACATCCATGTGTACAAGGGACATTTATTTTTAGGATTCTGAAAACATTTATGTTTATATTGTTTCATTTTCTTTATATGCTGTCTAAACATGTCAGCAAGGTTTTGACAACAAGGATTATTTTATGTTAATTTGAAGTTCAATTTGATGGAAATTCATGTCAAGGGATATAATCCTAACTATCAAAATAAGACAAAAGCATTTGAAATCATTATATTACATATTTCAAATTGAGTTATAATTCATCTTAATTTATTCATTATTTTGTTAAACCAAAAAAAGTCTTCCATCTTCTGCTAATCATCAAAAATGTACCAAAATTAACTAAACCCTACGTGAGGAAAATTATTTCCAGTTTCATTTAGTCAAGATTTGAAATGTTAAACTCCACTTGACATATTAAGTCCTTTTTAAACCTGTAGAATTAAAACTAAATAAATAAATAAACAATTTTATGGTGAACCTGTTTTTGAGCAGGAAGGAGGCTAAAAGAATATGAAATTACAAATTTATCTGCAAAGGTCTACAGAGCAATTTCCATGGTAACATGGTAAGCTACCGCACATTTTAGCCAAAGCTGCCCTGGGCCCACTGACAAAATAAAAGGCTGTTGCACACAGCAAACACCTGACCCTCTGACCATCGATAACAGGCGATATCTGTGAAGTCTCTTATCCAAAGAAATTAAGACTGAAATTAACAGAAACGGGGGTGAATCTGAGAGCCTCTAATTGCAGGAGGAACTCCTGCACTGCTACCTGTATTGCTTTGACACCCTGGCACAATCTGCTGACAGCCATTATAGACATTGCACATCACATGAACCTGTAATCAACCTTCCTGAGTGGACAGCCTACCAAAACTTCTCCAAAATGGTAACACACTCAGGAGGTCACCAAACATGAAGAACAACATCTAAAGCAGTGTAGGCATCACCTCTGTTAGGCTCAGAGTTCATCATTCAACAAGAGGAAAGACACCGAGCAAACGCTGGTTTAGGGCCAACCTGTCACTGGCCAAGAGGAATTTGAAGGTGCATCTTATATTTCCACAATTCTTTGATTTTATTCAAGGCATTTAGGGATATATTTTCTAAACTAGTGAGGCAGAAGACTTGATATAGTATTTTGGAAACTGTGCTTCACATTATACGTGTTGTGAAACTAGTAAAGGATTTAAGAACGTCCAAAGATTGTTGATTGTTATGGTTTAATGGCCTCGGCCCTTGCAAGGCCATGATTGCTGCTTTCAAGTAGAAAATACTGAAGGGGGGGTGCATTTGCAACAGTACATTATTTTAATTGATAGCTAACTGTAATCCACACTAGCAAGTCCAGCTCCGATAGCAAAAATAAAAAACAAAATGAAATTATGCAGTGGCTTTGTGAAAGTCTAGAGTTAAATTTGACGAAACTGCTGTGCCTTGATCTGCAACAACATGTTGTAGATAAAAAGTGATGTGCAGGGTAAATGACAGGTTGCGGACAGTGTATCACATGACCAACCCCCCCCCCCCCCCCCAAAAAAAAAAAATGAAGTTAAGTCTACAAATTTACTTTGGTAGCTTTAGAAGTGTAAGGTAACATGTATACTACAGTTTCTCAAGAATTAGGGTTAAGAGTAAGGGATGTGTAAGTGGGAGATTTTGGATTCACAGCTCATGTAAACATTTTGCTACAGCATGACATGAACTCTGGGTGTCAGTTACTGATGAGAGGGTAATCCCCATCGCTTCAGTATCTGAAAGGCAGCGGACTTCACCAAGCTTCAATATGTGATGAGTTGGGAGCGAAACTGTACTGGTTTAAAAGGCTCAACATTAGTCACCATAAACACTTTGTGGCCATTAAAGGTGTCAGTATCACTTTAAGGTTTAGTGGGTATTACTTTTTTAACACAAGCTCAGGTTAGTTTATATCCACCGTTTTTTGTCCCCCCCCGATACATGATATCATAGTTTAAAATAGCATTTTTTGTATACAACTGCGTTATCTGTATCAGATCTTAACAATTGCTTGATGATCTGGGACATTTAGGATTTAAACAAAAAGGAAAACAATAAAAGGAAATAGTGGGCTTTTTTAAGGTGTGAAAAAACTTTTAGGCAACAAATGATCTCAAATTGAATGTCGGCTTCCACTAAGGTAAACACATTCCTTTTGATTTAGACAGATTTTATTTGTCATTTTGTTTTTTGTTTTTAACTGTAAAAACAAAATGAATTTTTGTTAGGAAACAATTTCATTTTAAAAGTGCAGCCTTGAAAAATAGTAAAAATGACTCTAAATTTACAGTTCTAACGTTTCTTTTTTCTTTTGTGGTTGTCATGATGAGTTCTCAAATGGAGACCCAGTTATGCAGAACACCACAAGGCGGACACGAGGATAAAAGTTCTACAGTTTATTAAGCACAACACAATATGAACTGGGATCTGGTTCGGGCCTGGGTCCTGGTTTCACTGGAGTCTGCGTGAGAGACAGAGCTGTTATGAACTGCTGGCAGGGTTTGGTTTTCAAGTGAGCTCTGATAGTACCTTGAGGGTTCTTGAGTAATTCTCCTTGGGGGAGTTTCTGTTGGTTCTGGAGAAGAGTTATCAGCAGAGTCCTTAGCTGCTTCAGCGTCTCACGTCTAGCTTGGTCAGACCTTGGTTTGGTTTTTCCAGCTCTAGTCCTGAGCTGCTTGGGGTTTCTCAGAAAGTCTTCAGGGTTTGGCTCAGAGGGTCGGCTCGGCAGGTTAGCTCTCCTAGAGCTTCCACAGAGGAGACTCGGGTTTCCTGGGAACACAGAGAGAGAAGTTAGAATCCAATCTGGATTCAAGGTCATGGAGATTCACAAGGAGCAAGGCTTTAGCGCTGACCAACTGGAACAACACTGCGGCGTTGAGGTAAGGTCTGAAGACAGCTTATGTAGTGGATCCTCTGATGGTCTTGATGAGCTGCACCTGTGCAGGAGGCTCCCTCAGAGGATCCACAGAGGGCTCGAGGAAACAGGTTTGATCTGGGAAACATGGAAAGTGGGATGGATACGGAGGGAGTGAGGAAGCTGCAGACGAACAGAGGAGGGGTTGATGATACGAGAAACCTTGAAAGGCCCAATGAATCTCGGGGAGAGTTTTCGAGACATCCCCTTAAGGGGCAACGGTTTTAATGTAAATGGGATTCTCTTCAACCATTTTTTTTGGTATGGATTTTCCAAAGCACCATGCACACATGAATCTCTATGAATTTCCTTTTTATGTTTACTTCATGCAAACATGGCATTTATATGTGCTTCAGATTTCTCACAACTCTTAAAAACCCATCTTTATGCATTGCATTTTTCTGGTTTGAGTACCCTTCATGCGGCGTGAAAAGTTTTAGAAGCATTTGACAAGGAAAGTGTCTACAGGCAAAACAGAAGACGTCCCAATTCTGTGAATTTCAGACCTGCTTCGATGTGACTACCATCTCTTGTTAAAGGCCCTCACTGTTCATGGAATTACCTTCAAGTGTGGATGTTTAGCTCAGTCAGTGAATGCTGAGATATATCTAGGGAGGGAGGAGTCAACTAATATAAATGTTTTGTGCTGAGTATTAAATGCTCTGGATAATTTCATTAGATGGGAGTGAAATACTTTGTCTATGTAGTAGGCCTATATGATATTAAGGGAGAAGATGTCGCCTTGACTTGGTACCAAATTCTTTTAATTTGTGTCTTTTTAAGAATGTCTGTGTACACTGAGCAGATCTTCAAAGAAAATGCAAAGTTATTTGCGTTTTCAGCCTAGCTTTTTTTTATGTTTGTGCATTCATCAATATGCAGATCATAACATTGAACAAACTGATCAATATCATTTGTGGAAGATCTGCAAACGTAGAATTTACCATGTGTTAAGTATTTTTGTAAACCGCACACTTAATTGTAGTTACAGGTGTTGCATTTTTTTAGGACTTCTATTCAGGTACAAACTGACAAAGACAAACATCAGCAGTCACTTTAGCCACAGAAGAGGCACTGGTACAAAGCCAGAGCATACAGAAAGATTCTGCACACATGTAAATGTATTTAAACTGATAAAAATAATGATGGTAGAAAAATATTTGCAAACGAAAAGGGTCAATACAGGCAGGCACAATTTAATGCAGTGGGACGAAAGACAACCTTTAACAGTACGGTGTCTATTTGTGGGTGTGATTTGCTCTTCAAGGCATCCATAATGTCTCTCCTTGTTTTTGAAAAATAAATGTTAACCCTAAAATGATCTTGTCTTGTCAAAATGTCTTTTTAACTTGCTGCTTTCCCCTAATGCAAATGCCATTCATTTAGCCAGTGTCATGATGGGTGTCACAGAGAGTAAGCCCAAGATGCAGAACACACACGGGAGAACTGGGTAAAACGTCCAAAAGAGTTTATTTTAGAACTCAAGCACATGAAATAATGAAACGGTTCAGGCAGGTGACTGGTTCACTGGGGTCTGTACGGGGAACGGGGGATGGCTGGTAGCTGAGTTCATGTGAAGCTAGCATTTAGCTTCAGGCTTAGCCTGGCAGTCCTGGGTTTGAGCTTCCAGCTCTTAGCAGGGAACAACAGGGGAAAATCCACGTGGGAACCTCTAGGGAAACTCCACACAGAAGTCATCAGGCTTCATCCACGTAGGAATCTTCGGGTTGGCTCACCAGGGCAGATTAGCTGGTTACACTCTCCTAGAGCTTCTGGCTTGAGACTGGTTTCTTGTGATGCAGCTCTCCCAGAGCTGCAGGCCAGAGACAAGTTGCCAGAGAGACTGCTCTTCCAGAGCTTCACGAGGAGACAGGAGGTTAAGCTAATCCAGAGCTTCACGAGGAGACAGGAGGTTAAGCTCATCCAGAGCTTCACGAA